AAGCTTCTACATAATACAGGTCAAATGATATAGGTCAACAAAGGTCAACAAAGGTCAAAATCGAAAAATGAAAATATCCAAATGTAAAAAACCCGTTCCTTTTTTGGAACTATAAAGCTGAAACAACTGAGCTGTTAACACAAACTGGCCAAAAGGATGAGGTAATTGTGTGCAAAGTCCCTTTTTTAAAAAACGCATCCTATGCGAATTATGCCCCTCCCTTTAAATGTTAACAATTAGTAATTCAACCCGGATGTGCCACGCCCACATAAGTTTTTTTGTCATAGGTGAATTCATATTGAAAGTGTCTAGTTGTATTCCAAATATCAAGGTTCTCCATAAAATAGGTCATAAGATATACATACACCAAGATCAAAAAGACACAAATATGGTAAAACAAAACTCAAATTTGAAAAAATCACGAATTTCAATTTTGCTTTAAAAATGCAATTGTTCTATATCTATGTAAAGGCCATGAGAAGCACATTAGGAAACCGAAAAAATTAACCCTCTAGGTTAAGTAGGTCACGTGCTAGAGCAGTCCAAAGTTGCGAATTTGGCTTTTTACGGATAGCTATAAAACCGGAAGTACATGTCGTAGGTCAAAGGTCAAAGTATCAAATGATAGCCAAGGTCAATGACCTTTGACCCTATGAAGGTCAAGGTCATCAAAGGTCAAGGTCACATGGTGTGATCGTTTAAAGCTTTAAAAAATTTCAACCGGAAGTTGCAAAAAAGCAAAAGCGAAATTCAAAATTCGGCGCCCAATGTTTTTTGCGCAATCGATTGCAGAATACATTCACATCAAATTTGAGCATATCAACTTTTACCCTGAGGCCCCATTATGAGTTTTATAAAAGTGTGTTTTTTCAATATGGCGGCCAAAGTATCACTTCCGGTCTGGATTTTATTTTAAAATCGGCCATAAAATTTTATTTGCCAAAGATCAGCTAAATTTTGTTGACCTACATAAATTACACCGGAAGTTATTCAACCGGAAGTAGATTTAAAGTTCAGTCGCTTTCCTGTTGAAAATCGGAAATGACGTACAAAATTTGACTGTATCATATTATTAACATTAGTGAAGTCTCTTTGCATTTAAAATTTCAGATCAATCGATGCAAAAGCAAAAAAGTTGCAAAAAAATCGAAAAATTTGATCGAAAAAAGTGAGCGACGAATTTTCGAATTTCGTAAT